TTTTATTTTTGAATTTTTTGGGAGTAATTCTCATATAGGGCAAAAATCACGTGCTTACAGTAGCTAGGGTCGAGGTCGAGTACTCAGATCAGCCCAAACGGCTAGTTTATTAATAAGATATTTTAAAGAAATATTCTACAGAATATTCTCGGCACTTGTACTTTCAGTTAGGTAAGGGATATGTCTAATATAAGTGAGAATAGAGAGAGAAAAAGGGGCATGTAATATTCCATATGATAAATTCTCTCATAAAAAGTTGACTCTCAAGAAAATTACAAATATTGTCTTTACAAATAGATTTCGATTTGTTGTCGATCTTACACTTTCTTGTATCAGATCTGAGAAAGCTTTCTATATTCTCACGTTTGTTTGTCTTACATCACTGTCAGAGGGAGAATCATCTACCTCATTGAATATTCGGGTGAATCATTCTCTCTATTTATATTTATTGCCATTTAATATATTTATTGCTTGTCATTACTCCCCCACACATTTATAACAATATCATTAAACACCACTTTGTATTAAGTTGGTTTAAGTATAATTATTCTTTGTTCATGTCATCCGATTTCAGATCTAGGATTTATTATGTTTAAGTAGGATTCACCCATCATCATCTTATTTAATTAGTTTAACAAAAAGATTTAACACTTTTTGGTCAAACATAATCTCCGTTATTGCATTCAAAAAAAAAACTAGGAGACTTGCATTGTTTCAATATGATTTTTAAACAAGTGTCATTCTTTAATCGCAAATGACAAGTGTCGTGACTTTAAGGTTAAATGACACGTGTCTATCTAATCCAATAAGCTAAACTTAAAAAGTTAAAACCGAAAAATTGATTATACATTCTACATATAGGGGACGGACTTACCATCTCAAACTAATCGCTTTGAATAGCCTGGACTTCAAATAACCCAACAACTACTTAGCTAGCATTTGTATATAGATTTGATTAAAAATTAGAAAAAAAAATTGTATCGAAAAATAACTTTTGAAAGTTAATTTGTTTTTGAATATGCATTTTACTTGAAAAAAATTGAAGTTTTATAAGCAGAAGAAAAAATTTCGCCAAAAAACTGGCCCTAATTAATTTTTGGTGCTTGAATTTGATTTTCAAATGTTTTTAAAAATAAAAAGTATGTATCTAAATGAGAGCTTAATTGACATAGTAACACTAAAGCTCCTTAAGTATTTGACATACCATCAATATCAGCAGTAAAAGACATTAATATTGTACTAATTGACTGACAATTAATATAAAGTTGGATATAGATTGAAAAGAGGGGCGAAACAATGAAGAACTATCTCATCATTCAATGTGTAATTGACCTTTTATTTAACAATTTTCTTTCTTTAAAACCAAAATTTCCAATGTCTCACTAATATATTGTGCTGACCGCTAAAGTGCCTTGATAAACGCACATATACAGAAAACAATTCAATGCAAGTTTCTAAATTTAGCACTCTCTGTCAAAGCATGTTCTCTGTTCACTTTTATTTATTTATTATGGACTTTATATACCTCTTAAAAAATAATAAATAAAATACATAATTTATCATAATAATAAAAATAACAAGTAAAAGCAAAAATTTATTTTTACAATACTAAATAAGTAAAATGAAGGAAGAGAGTAGAAAACAATTTAAACAATGAAAGTTTCTAATTTTAGAACTTGCTATCAAAATCATAGATATGCCCCGGTAATACTAGGAGCATACATACGTACACCTGAATTGAGAAAAGTACAACGGCAAAAACTCCGAGATTTAAAAAATTAAAAAATAAACGCAGGAAAAATCTAAAATACATAATATAATTTTTAGGTGTACCCGCTTGTATTCCCTGCCTATAAGTGAAGTAATTATCATAGAAATACTAATTTGAGCCAAACACGTGTGATTAGTAAGTACGCAGCAGTGTGACACTAGAAATCCCTGAAGAAACTTCACGGCCACGCTTCCGCCCTTATATATAAACCCACCACCTGTACTGCTCCTACCCAAACACCCAACATAATCTTACTCTCTCCCAATTATGGGAGATCCTAATCCGACGTCGTTTTCACTTCCTCCCGGTACTCGATTTTACCCCTCCGACGAACAACTCATTTGCTACTATTTATCTTTAAAAAACAGCGCCGATCATCGGAACGATTTTCAGTTTAACCTAATTCGAGAAATTGATCTCTACAATTTTGACCCGTTTAACTTACCGGATTCCGCCTGTTTTAAATACGGACGCGGCGGCCGGAAAAGACACTGGTTTTGTTTCGTGGCTAGGGTTTTAAAAGGAGGGCGGAGGAGAGCTGGGGGTGGATACTGGAAGAAGAGAGGTAGAGTTAGGGATGTGATGGGTGAGGGTGCAGGGACAGTTGTGGCGGGTACGCGGAAAAGTTTCGTTTTTTATTTAGGGGATTGTACTAAGACTGCTGTGAAGACTGATTGGTTAATGTATGAGTACGCTTTAATTGGAAATCCTATGGTACATTCTGCTATACAATCTTTGTTACGTCATTTTTTTGTATTCGTACATGAAGTGTTATATATATACGCCTATGTATACATGCATTATGTGGGTCTTTGGTTTTATCCTCTGTCAGGGAAGGATGTACAGTTTTAGCTATGTGTTTAGTAGAACCTAGTAGCTTTGGCTCATACCCTATATTAAATTTCTAACCCAGTAATTCAAATGGTCAGTGGGTTCACCAAAACCGTAAAGTTCAAATCTTGGATCCGCCACTGTCTTCAATGGGGGCTATATATGGGTTTGAACTTTTTTATTGTACCAATTCTGAGTTGGGTTTCTTTTAATTTGCTGTGGAATTGGTCTTTTACTTAAATACTGTGTCAAAGGCTTGTCTATTTAGTATACATTGTGTTCAAGCTGACTTTGGCAAGCGTTGGTTGTTTCCTTTCTTGGATTGCTAACTGCTAAATACCACTCTGATTTTACACGTAGGTTATGGAATTAGCTTGGTATTCAGGATATGCTTGTACTCTTAGATACATTGTCATCCATTACTAGTTATGGTAAAGAAAAACTTTGTAAGATATAACAATTTCCCCTGCATCCCAAATGGACTAGGCAAGTCAGATATACTTGTGTGTTATATGATTCGTTAACTGAATTAAGCACCATATTTAATAAGCGTGCGAGGGATATGGGTTGGTGATTCTGGAATTAGGGCGTATGCTTTTATTTGATGTAATTTTGATTGTGATTGCTGAAACAGATCACTGAGTGTCAACAGCTTCTTATTTAGCTTCCTCTTTTAGGTTTGTGTTATTGTTCTGAAGTCTTGATGATTTGAAAGATTATCAAAGCAACACATCCTGAGTTTAATCATAAATTCTGCCTTTTATGTTGGTAGCTTTCATATCTCTCTCCGCATTGAGTCAGCGGCTGTGCTTAATCCACATATTTAGAAGTGAGGTAGAAATTTACTAACTCACGGTACTCAAAGATTGAGCCTTTTCTTGTTGTTGCAGTTTTTCCCATTTTCATTGTGTTACCATTGTTGCTACATATCTCATGGTTCTAGGGTCATCAAAAATATCATGTGGTTTTGCTTATATGCAGGTGTCTTTATCCCGCTGCGTATAAGATATTTGCTACATGTAACATGTCTCCAGCTTCTACTTGTGTGCAGGCATCTTTTGTTCTATGCCGAGTATTTATCAAATCTCGTTATCGAAATAACTTGTCAGAGCATGTATTTAGTTCCTATGGTGAAGAAACTGTGGCGGCAGTACGTCATGTAGGTATTCAATGTGATGGAACTGCTGCATCGGTTACTGAGTCTAAAATGCATGATGGAAATACCGTTGACCAGGAGAATGATGTCTCAAAGTTACAAAATGGAATAGTTACCAACTTAAATGGTCAAGCTCTTACAGAATCTGTTGTCAAGCAGGTATACCGAAAAGAAAGCTTTAGCTGATTAGTACTTTAAAGGTGCTTAGTTACCTTTTGCTTCATTCACTATGCCAAGCTTTCGGGCTGAATTGCTTCTCTTGTTTGTTGCTGGTTCACCTTCTGAATCATCACTGACCAATATGTATGCTCATCAAATGTCTGACATGCACAAAATATGCATTTTATCTTTAGAATTTACCTACGCATTTTGTTAACATTTGAAAACAAGAAACCTCCATAGAGCCGAGGGTCTATTAGAAACCGCCTCTCTACCTCCATAAAGGCAGGGGTAAAGTCTATGTACCCCACTATGTGGGATGATTATACTGGGTATGTTGTTGTTGTTATTCTTGAAAACAAGAAACCTCTTGGAGAATTTGGGGCTGGAGATGTTTCAATTGCTCCCCCTATTAATGAATGTTTTCTTCTTCTATTTTTCATATCTTTTGTTCCTTCTGTTAGGAATGGAATCTGAGTTACTGTTTCTGCATTTAGGTTCTTCTAATGTAAGCTTAAGAAGTCTACCTTAAGTGAGCCTTCTTTATTAGCTAATCGAAAACTTTTCATCCTTCAAACTTTAACTGCGTTAGCTTGTTAAGTAAGTGGTGATGTTCCTTTTCCTATTCTTTTTTGATATAAATGGGCCTCGTTAATATGGGTTTTTGATTCATGCAGCAGATTGGTCTTGAGAGCGACAGACCTCCAGGTCTCAATGGTTTTTCTGCTCAGGAACTGACAGCGATTTTAGAAGGAGATTTTATAGAGTTGGATGACCTTCTATGCCCGCTCCCCGGCATTAACTAAAAGAAGATAACAACAACAATCCCAAAAGTTCAACAGCAATCCCAAGCAAGTACAACCAATAACAATCGAAGCAAGTAAAATCGATAAGAATCCCAATCAAGTAATCGATAAGGATCCCAAGCAAGCTATTTTTGGAAATCAGTATAGCATCAAGTTCATGCCGGGTTATATCACTAAAGGCGACAAAAATGGTATTCAGGTCACTTTCCAGAGCAATAGAAATTGAGATTATAATAGGTCAATGAAAGAGTGATAGTCATCAAAACTGTGAGGTCACCTCCTACAGAGGCATCATTTTTGAAAATCAGCTCAAGAGAATTGGATGAGTAATTGTTCACATTATGTTGTCTCGATGGATATCTTGACAGTTGTCAAAATTATGAGGTCACTTCAACGGCAAGATTTTTGAAAATCAGTTCAAGAGAGTAGATGGGTTGAGTAATGAGGCTCACCATTCAAGTATGCAATTACCTGGAAGGATATCTTGTTTATGTGTGAAGAGTTAAGTCACCTAATACAATGTCATGATCCGTGAAAATTGGCTCAATAGTATTAGATTGCGTGAATAGTGGCTCACGTTACCTGGACAGATATCTTAAACAGTTATCAAATTACGAGGTCACTTCATACAGTTTCATGGTTGTTGAAGATCAGCACAAGATAATAGATGGAATGAGTAATGAGGTCAAATTTACAATTACACAATTACCTGGATGGATAATATCTTGAGTAGTGGCTGAAAGAGTTTAGTCACTTTATACAATGTCATGATCCTGAAAATCAGCTAAAGAGAATTAGACTGGGTGAGTAATGGCTAGTATTATATTGTTACCTGGATGGATATCTCAACAGTTACCAAATTATGAGGTTACTTCATACAGTGTCAGAGATTGCTGAATCAGCTCTTGATAATAGATCAGGTTAGCAAGGTTCATATTTTACAATTATGCAACTACCTGGATGGATATATTGGATATGGTTGATAGTTGAATCAACTTAGTGCAGTGTCACGATTGCTGTAAATCAGCTGAAGAGAATTAGACTGGGTGAGTAATGGCAGTATTATGACCTGGATGGATATCGTAATAGTTATCGAGCCGAGGGTATTTCGGAAACAACCTCTCTATCTTCGTGTTAGGTAGGGGTAAGGTCTGCGTACACTTTACCCTCCCCAGACCCCACTTGTGGGATTTCACTAGGCTTGTTGTTGTTGTTGTTGTGGATATCGTGATAGTTATCAAGTTATAAGGTCATTTCATACATTATCATGATTGCTCAAAATCTAAAAGGTAATAGATACGCTGAGTAAAGCTTGGATTACACTTATACAATAGGATGGATGTCTTGTTATATGGGCGAGAGTTGAATCACTCAGAGAAATGTCATGATTGCTGAAAATCAGCTCGAGACACTAGATGGGTAAGTAATGGCTCACATATTACAACTACCTGGATGGACATCTTGTATTTGGTGGAGTTAACAGCACAAGTAATAACAGCTATAGCTGTGACATGGATGGCCATCTCATATGTGGGGAAGGATATCTTGTGTATGGTAAACACTTAATTATGGGAGCGCCAACATGGATGTATATCTTGTATATGGTAAAAAGTTAACAGCAACAACAACAACAACAAGTATCTCATAATACTAAGCAAGTTGGATGGTGAAGAGTTAACAATTAGCTCCAAAGTCCATAGGATGTGACAATGTCAGTTGGTTATGAGGTGACAAAAATATTAGGAAACCGGTGCTGGTGGGAGAGTAGGTACAAGCACGCACCTGGTGGAATAGTCGAGGTGTGCACAAGCTGGCCCGTTTATCAGGACCCAAGTTCTCTTGCTTTCAGGTATTTACCATAATTTTGTATTTTTTTAACAATATTTTGATGCAGAAAAGCATTGATTCCTATTTGATTTGTGATGCAGGCTGGCAATTTTGGCTCCTTAGTAGACTATGCTCTTGGTGTAGATGTGGCAGCATAATTAAGGTTATTGGTACGTTTTGGCGAACTTGGCGGTGTAAGATAAAATCTCAACATTGCCTTTTTTTTTGCTTCACAATTTCTAGCGATCATGCCTAGTAGTAAGTTGTGGAGAATGTAAAACTTCAAAGTCCAGTTCCAGATAAGTATGTGTGTTTTTAGCAAATCCTAGTACAAGATGGTGTCATTATGAGAATCTGCTGATTCTCTTTTATTTAAGTACTTTAGTAGTTGTATTATATGTCATATGTCCTCAGGGAGTGATTTTATGGTGTGCCTCGTACAACTTACATTAGTTGTGTGAAGCCTCTTTTTATCTCACACATTTGGGTCCACAAAATTGTGAGACAAAAAGGATGCCAAAATAAAAAAATTCGTCCACTGGGGTCTTTTCCCATGCAGTGACTGTAGTTTGTGAAGCTTGAAACTGTTGTTGTACTCTATTCACAGTACGAGTGCCAGAGGAGCTAGTGGTATACAAGTATTACTGGCACTTGGACTGTCTTTTCTGTTAGGGAAACACTCATGAAACTCAACAGTTAAGGTGCGTGGTTGCTAAACTTGTACTCCTTAACGGGGGACTCTTGTCTTTCCCCCCAAGTATCCAAATTACATCCCAACATTCAAAGAAATAGTTGGGCGTCGTGAATCTTCTGTTTCTCTGGAAAAGAATGTCTCCAGCAAAGCTTCAGACAAGCTTTTGGGGTTTTCTTGCCCTGCGGGAAACCAGGCGGAGAAAGATGGAAAGCAAAACAAAACGTTTCTTATATCTTTTGAAAACGAGAGAAGAAAAATACTCTTCTTAAATAGGAAACGAGGAGCTGGTTTAGTTTGAGTAAATCGTTAATCAATTTTCATATCTATTTTTGTCCTAATCATTTTATTTTAAATCGGCAGCTATGTTGGCTCCTATGTAACAAATTTCACAGTAAAAAATTAGCTAAACAAGGAAATCAGAATACTGAAAACAAATGGGTTGACTTGAGAACCTAGCTTGGGCGTTTCATTATGTATGTAGAAGTGTTAGTTTTGGAAATAGATCCGTTTAGGGATTGGCTAAATGACATTCACCATCATTTTGATTTGAGAAACATCGTGGACGATTTGCAAGAAATTTTATGACATCACCAATTTCACAATGAATAGTTTAGGGATGGCACCCGTGCTAATGAGAAGTGTAGCAAACATAATTTGGATCCTCATCAACCATCTGTTGCATAGAATTATGCTTCTTTTCTGGAGATTTGCTTGAGTGAAATAACAATTGTGTTAAAAAGCTGTCCCATATCACCTTCGATTGGCTTTGATCTTCCGTAACTCTTGGGATCTTACTTTTTTTTAACTTGAGATGACTTTGAATTATAGTCTTGAATCTATTGATGCATGCCTGTCATTGACAGAGTATTCGTTAAGCAAAGCAGCCTTTTATATACTGAACAATGGTGCTTTTTAAGGGGTAAAATTGTCAAATATCCAATTGATTGGAGTAGTTCATCAATGAAGCATCACGCTTTTTTCATGTTTATGTTTATGCTTTGATACAGTGTGCCTCTGTCCCCAGTTTTGCCCCAACCCATACCTCATTTCCCCATCACAAAAGGAGGACCAGAAAAGCTTTCGTTTATCTTCTTTGCTTGTAGGGTCTTTATGTTTAAAGTATTGCAGCGATAGTATAGTCAGTCAAGAGGATGCAAACTCCAATTTCCTCTCTAATTTTGGACTCATATGATTTAAATTTTGTTACTTTCCTCATAGGAGACAATTACCCACCAAAAGTAGTCTATTGATAAATGCTGGACTCAGATAGTGCAGGTGTTGGTTCTATTTTTGATTATCCTCCACACTATTTCCAGAAAGTCCAGCTAACATTTGCTTTGATCAGCCAACAATTATCAGTGGTAGAGAACAGAGATGCACATTAATGATGAGTAAATACACGAACAACCATCCCCTTTCACCCTTTTCTTCCAACCCCAAAATACAACGGAAAAGGGTCAAAAATATTCCTCTACTATTGGATATTGTTTATAGTTGTCCTCCGTCATACTATTGGTCTAACTATTAGTCAAATATATCCCTCAGTTAACGGAGAGAACACGTGGTAGGTTTATAAGCCATTTTAATGCCCAACCCATATTTTAACGTTAACCTATCCATACCCAAGCCCTTATACCCGAATTAGAGAGAAAAACTATTGAATCATCAGGCAAGATTTAAATCTCGATTTTCCGTCAATTATGCCGGAACCCCACTTGAACAGAGCATACTATGGCCTCAATTCTGCAGCCGTCCAAAACATACCATGGTAGTCTAATTTAAGCTGCGTTTCTTAAATTGTTGTATACACAGACTTATCCGTAAAAAGGGAGCATAGGAAGGGGCAAAAGGAAATAGAAAGTGAATAAAAATATAAAAACAAAAAAATCAAAGTGAACATATTTGATTCGGGGGAAAAGGGGTTGGATACGGGTAAAGGGTTGGATTAAAGTTAAAATATGGGTTGGGCATTAAAATGGCTTATAAGCTTGTCATGTGTCTCCTCCCTTAACTAAGGGATATTTATGACCAATAGTAAGACGGTAGGGGTTAAATTAACCAAATAGTATAACGAAGGATAACTATAAACAATATTCAATAGTAAAAGGGTATTTTTGACCCTTCCCCGAAAATACAATTCCATAACCCTAAGAATAATAGATCAGATCGAAATGCTTTCTTTAGGGGCTGTCTTGTACAATTTTCCTTGAGTATTCTTTCATGTATATGGATTTGCTTTGGAAATGTTAGTAGGGTCTTTTGATGCTTGAATCAGAGTAGGTTATCTACATTATACTCTTTTAGGGTGTGGCCCTTTCCCGAACTAAGTGTGAACTTGGATGCTTCATACACCGATCTGCCATTTTTAAAAAAAAATCTCTAGAAAATATTGGCTCTAGCTATGATGAATCATATGAATGCTAAATTTGTTAACAGATGAAACAAATACGATAGATTCATATAATTGATTCCAACTAATTTAGGATTTGAGACATAGATAAATAACTAATTTTCTACAAATTAAATACTCATCTGTACGAGGATGGAACTAAAACTGCTACATATATTGCATCATTTGTCTTTGCACCCATAATTGATATAATAATCATGGAAAATTATCCTCTCCCAGATTTTTGTTCGTCCTTCTCATTTCTTTCCTGCAATAATTCATGGTGTTTGTGTAAAATGTGTTCATTGCCTAGTGGGGACATGTGTGGTAATGATTTAAAGATTCTATGTTACTGAAGATTGGTACAAAAATTACTCTTTTCACGCTTTGCACAGAAGAGAGGTGCTTCTCTTTAATGTGCATAATTCTAAATCAAAGTGTTTAAAGGGGCAATTCTCTGCGGTTTGGTAGCTGCAATATATTGTCGGTCCTAGCAAATATTTTTGTCATGCCTTCCTCTGGCCATTATTATTTTTGCAAGTCAATACTCCCTAATTCTTTTGCATTTTCCAGTCTCATTTCCAAACTGTTTGGACTTAGTTATGTGAATTCTGTATATCTATTGGACGTCGTGTACGTTTGGGAAATAATTATAACCACTAACCAAATGTACAAAAAATATATTGATTATGTATAAAATATGTATATTATATATAAATAAACAAAAAATATATTTTTTTTAGCTATTGTTTTAAAGGGCAGCTATACAATATCGATTTTGCATATTTTTATATTTTATTCTATTATAGTTGGGCAAATTTTATTCAGGGTAATCATTTGACTTTTAAGACTAATGAGAAGATCTATAGAGATTCTCTAAATTTCGTACTTATATCTAATTGAATTTAATGTAAGTATAACTACAACAATATATCTCAATTTAAGTAGTTGATGCCACATATATAGATTATTTGCTTCCATGTAGTTACAGAGTAAGAAGGAACCAAATGAATTTTTTTGTCATTTGATCATTGCTAATTGAGAGGATAATTAAAGAGAACCATCTTTGTTGACCCCGTCTTTTACGTGTTCATATTAATACCTTCTAATGTGCCGACTTTCCTTTACATTTCCTTTTTTTATATTTTCGAAGCAATTTCTGTTACAACAATGTACATTCTTGAATCTTGCAAAAGATTAGGACAATTGAAATTGAAGGGTGACTGGTTTCTTGTGTTTGAACATGTTATTGTCTTACACACAAACAGCATACCCGAGAAACTTCTTATGGTCAGCACATGATTAATGTGATATTATGGAATATGAGGTTATTTAAAAAAATTCAAATCCTTGGGAAGTTACAATCAATGGACGCATCTTCCAAGCAAAAGGGTAACAAAGTTCTGCCTCCCTGCCTAAGTAGAGTCACTGCGATACCTACTTTTCTTCAGGGTTTTAGGGAGGCTTGTAAAGCCTTGGGCCCCTGTTATAAGGCAAGTACGCAAACGCAAGTTAGTTCCTTTTCTTTTCCCCGAGGAAAAGAAAGACACATATTTATACACAAAAACCACACTTTTTTTTCTAATAGAAAAGAGAGAATAAAAGAAGGGGATATCAATATCTCGTTTACCCTTCTGTTCAACGACAACAACATGTTCAATGTATTTTTACAAATTGAGTCTGGGAGGATAGTATATACGCAGATTTTATCTCTAATTTGTGAATATAGAGAGACTATTTTTGGAAGACCCTTTGCTCATATAAAGCAAAAACACAATAGTTATGATAAAAAACTACGGAAAGCAAGATAATAGCAACAGTCAGAGAAAATAAAGAATGAAGCAAAGAAAACATCAAGTAATAATATCGATCTAAAAAAGGGAACATGAGGATAACACTAATACTACAATTATGGAAGAAAGTACAAGTTTGGAAAGGAAAGACACTCGGCTACTTACTAACCTACAACTCTAATTCTCGACCTCCACACTCTTCTATCAAGGGTCATGTCCCCGGTAAGCTGAAGATATGTCATGTCCTGTCTGATCACCTCTCACCAATATTTCTTCAGCCTACCTCTATCTCTCCTTAGACCCGACATAGCCAAGTTTTCACACCTCCTCACTGGGGCAAATGTGCCTCTCCCAGTCTCGTTTCTCGCATCTTGTCCACCACATAGGCCAGTCCCACCTTATCTCGGATATCTGCATTCCTAATCCTATCCCTTGTAGTATTATCACACATCCATCTCAACATCCTCATTTTCGCAGCTTTTAACTTCTCAATATAAGAGGTCTTGACTGGCTAGCACTCCGCCTCATACAACATAGTCGGTCTAACCACTACTCTGTAAAATTTACCTATGAGTCTTGGTGGTACATTCTTGTCGTACAAGATCCTAGATGCGAGCCTCCGCTTCATCACCCCGCTCCAATACGATGTGTGACATCCTCGTCAATCTCCGCATTTTC